CTTCATGGTATGGGCTGTTCCCCACCGCGGCTGGGGCGCTCCGTGGGGAACAGGGCTCCCCCAGGGCCTGGCGGTCCCCCCCCGCGCGATGGGGGGCTGACAGCAGCTGGGGCATTGCCAGGATGCCGGGTGTTTCCTCCACCTAGAAGGCTGGGGGGCAAAAGGGGGAAATTGGGGCATCTCTGAGGTGTGGGGTGCTCCCTCATCGCCAGGGCTGGGGGGTGCACTGAGGGGGCTGCGGGCTGTGAGGTTGCTCAATCCTTTCTGTGCCCCCTAAGCAACAACAGGGACTTGGTCTGGTGCCTGAGTGTTTGGCAGTGGCTGTCATAGCCGAGAGGCTTCCAGCCCCCCTCCTTCCTTTTGTAGCAACGTAATAATTTTTGGAGAAAGAGGGTTTTCCTTCTGCCTGTCTACAAGCTCCGTAACTACAGGAAAAGCAGTGGTGTCCCTGTGGTCTCCACATACCGTGGCTGAGAGCTTAGGTGGCCGTTCCCGAGCCTGTGTTGGTGGTTTTCCCTTAACCCACATCCACATGTGTGTGCATCATGCTGGGGCAGCGCCCTGCTTTCAGCATCTGGGTGCTGGGCCTCGTGTTGCTGAGCATTGTTACTGCGGTTCCTTTCAAAAGCTGAGAAGGGGGCACGTAATATCTATTATCTTTTTCACCTTTCTGCTTTTAGATGAGGACTGTCGTCTTCCTAGGAAGCTGAGCACCCTGGGTGACACAGGAAAAGTAGATGCATCTTATCTCTCACTCACTTCCGAAATCGTAGAAGGAACCAGTGTTGTCTTCTGAGGTTGCTTAATTGCACTTGTTTTGCTGGGTTTTTTTGAGTTTGCCTTTCCCCAAAGGAAATGAGGCACCTGCTCCATTCAGGTGCTGTTTTTTCACTTCCACACCGGACGCTCTGTCAGCTTCGCTAGCTTGGCCGGGGTGCGCTTTCCTTGGTTAAAGAGTGGCAGAAGGCACACAGGGGGAATGTTTCCTGGTGACGTTACACAGGAGGCATGGTTCAGTGTGCCTTGTGTGATAGGTGCGTAAACATGGCCGTGACCTACTGGGGCCTATTTATCTGGTGCCCTTGGAGCAGATAAGGATCATTGCACTTGGAGTATTGTCTAATTCTGAATATCCAGGAATATGACTCCAGGCAGTTCCCACAAGGGGGCCTTTTTGGTGATCTCTGAGATCATATCAGCAGATAGCCACTGAAATGTGCCCGTGTCCAGCGGGATTATCGTTATCGGAGGGGTAGTCTGTGTCGCTGACAACCAGACTTTTCAGTTGAACTGGTGATGTGTGCTTAACGTGCTGGCTGGAGCCTAGGTTGGAGAAATGTGCATCTTGGTTTAGCGTCCCCGTTGTTCCGCTCAGTTCTGGCTGAGAAGTGGGTGCTGCTGGTGGGGCTGGAGCTGGTCCACCCGAGTGACTGCTGGCCTGAGAAAAAGAAAAGGTGGTGGCCGAGAGCCAGGGGTGCTCGTGGCTGTTAGAGCTGAGGTCTCCAGGTGTTGTCTGAGTGCAGAAACCTTCCTGCTTGCGAGTCTGCACTTAGCTGGTTTATATCCTGCTTCAGTTGTTCCTTTTGTAGGGAACCGTAGGGAACCCACATTCACTGTTTAAATTGCATTTTGACTGATAATTTTAACATTCTTTTTGCAACTTACTGGATGTAACTCACTCTGCTGTAAAAGTCCGTTAAAAGACTGCAAATCCCTGGTGAGAGCTGTGATCCTGCTCGCTCAGCCTCTTTCCAGGGAAACGTGGGCTCAGCTAGACTAAATTCCCGGGTGGAAGGTAGGGAATAGTCCAGCGTGAGGACCTTGGGTGAGCTGTAGCTTATTGAAGAGGTACTTGAAGTTGTGTGCTCTTAAGTAAGAGCAGTTGTTTTCCATTCATGTAAGTGTTAATAAAACCAAGTAGTTGTCAGGGTTTTGCTGCAATAAAAGAAATCAAGGGCATGTCTGTCTCTCTCTGGATTAGGCTGGTGTAGCGGAGCAGCTTCCTTTGGCATAAAAAGCCTGCAAATTTAATGCAGTGGGAAGGTGAGATGCTTTGAAATGCAACGGGATATTTTTAAAGATCGTCAATCCTTCTGAACAGAGTAATATAATTAGTAATTCTTAAACCTGGGCTGTGTGGAGAAAACTGTGCCTGGCTGTGCTTTCAGAAGTTGTTAAAGGATTCCCCATCCTTTTCAGCCTGGGAGTCCTTGGGTAGTGTACGCGTTGGCTAATCGGTGCCGACCATGGAAGTCGGTGAGAACAGATGAAGGGAGAAATCCATCGGGGCAGGCGTGGGAAGTGGTGAGCTGAGAGCACAACGTGGTTTGAAACTGAGGGCTTCTGTTGGAGCAGAGCCGGAAGATCCTGCCTTAATTCCTGTGCTCAGCTGTGGTAGAGGCATCATGCAGGCAAGCGAGTGATGGACTCTGTCCTAGAGGACTCGCGACCGAGGGCAGCGAAGGCACAGGGAAATAGCGTTGATCCTGTGGGGGTTAAGACGGGCAAGAGCAATTTGAAATTTGCTGTTTGAGCCCCAAGTCTGGTATTTTTAACAAGATTCTTCCTAAAACCAGGCATATGGGAAGGGTTGAGTGCAGAAACGAGAATGTCGGTAGAGTTTTTTTTAAGAACTAAAGTATGAATAATATTTTCTGGTTTGGCTAATTATAGCTCATTGTTTTGAATTAAAGATGTAGCGTCAATAAGAATAATGGCTTCTATTTAAATGAAAACAATGTCTTCCCACCTAGCAGCTTTGTAGCAGTAGTGTCCATTTATTTGTTGCTTCTAACACTAAATGACTTCTTGTCTGCTGCTTTGCTGTCCTTTTAGAGTTGCTGATGAACAAGAGGATGTATGTCCCAGAGTAGAATCCTTTCGCATTCAGTTTAACAGGCTTTGGATCTTTAAGCAAGTCTAATGACGCAGAAGGGACGGTCTCAGGGCCTCTCTCTCCTCTGCTGATGGCACAAGTACATCTTGCATTTACTCCCCGTTTTCTCTTTACTTTTATGACGTTGCTGGGCATCTTCTTTTCTCTCTGCTGGGAGGAGAGAGGCTCCAACACACTTTTAAGTTCGGTTTTCTCCTGCTCCTGTAATGTTCTCTTCCCGCCCTCCTTTTTCACTTTGGAGAAGGAAGTTCCTGTTTCATGCTGCTACAGCTTAATTAAACTGGGAGGGATCTGCAGGGTTCCTGTGGCTGTTTAGCAAACAGTTTTGCTGGCCTGCGTGATCAACAGGTTTGTTACGAGGGGGGATCTGACCACTTCCATCAATGCTTGTGATTTTTTTTTTTGATTTTTTTTTTATTTATTTATTTACCAGTAGCCTTGGCACATGTAGGGATGTGATCCTTCAAGAGAAGAAGAAAGTTGGGCCGGGCTGATAAGCCTGTGATAAGGATTGGGCTTTTGAGGCCACATAGGCTTTCATTGCTCTATGGAACCAGCCTTGGTCTGTGACAAAGAATGTTAACTGGGAAAGCAGAAGAGCAACTGGTTTGATATGGTGTAATATTCAAGGACTTCAGGCATCAGTGTAGCTGTGGCAAAGTTTCTCGTGCGACGTCGTGATTTGGGCTGATAAATTACTGTGAACTCTGGTCTGCTACGTCAGCGGTGTTTGCGTGGTGCAAATCTTCCTTCCGTCAGAGCTCATGTAGTTGGCCACGTACCTCTTTTTTATCACCTAGATGCCAAAAGGTGCTTAATTAGCAGCTTTGTAACTGGACTTGGTGGATATAATGGGCGAAATGCAGAAGCTGGGGGTTGGCTTACTTTACAAAGCCACTTTGGGTCAGGATTCGGTATCCAACAGCCATCTCGCTAGCTGGGCCCTGGCAGCATCTTCCAGTTCCTGCAGTTGTTTATCTTAATGACCCAAGCGGCTCCTTTGAGAATCAGCACAAAGCAAACAGCAGACAGAATGTCACTCCTTCATTCCTCACCTACTCCTTTGTTTGCATTCTGTGTCTTTTTAGGCAGATTTTTTGAAAGGATTACCGGTCTACAACAAAAGCAACTTCAGCAGATTCCATGCGGATTCTGTATGTAAAGCATCAGTAAGTATTGCCACATCCTGGTGCTTTGGGGGAAAGTTTTCTTGCACGGCTGAAAGGATGCTAGAGTGAAATAAACTTGAAACTAGTATTTTTTTTTTCTTAAAAAAAAAAAAAAATTATGTATGATCACAGCTGATAGTTCATGAGTTGAGATTGGCAAGGAAAACTTCCTGCCTGCTTTGGTGAGGAATGTGTCATTGCATCAGCCAAACCACATCCGTGGTGCTTGCTTTATACGTGTGTGTGTATATACATGTCCTTTAGTAATAGCCTTATGCCCTGAAGAACACGTGAAAAATGGACCTGCTTCTCAACATGTGTGTTAAAAAGCTGTAGCCATGCAGTGTCACATAACAGGGCAGAATATCACAGTGCAGTTGTAGCCTGCGTTAATGAGGGCCTTTTGGTTGCTTTAGCTGTGGTTGGGTTAAAAATCGCCTTTTTGCTGTCCCTGTTCTGTAACTGGCCTAATTCTTCTACAGAATAGAAGACCATCGGTATATCTTCCCACGAGAGAATATCCATCTGAACAAAGTAAGTCCGCCCCGCTACTGTTTGAGTTTTTAAATAACTTTATTCTGTTCTAATATTTAAAATCTGGCATATGCGTAATCTCCCTTATTTCAAACTCCAGACCAGGTGACATTATTGAACTGCCACCACAGTAATTAGCAGTGTACATCTAGTTACTGCTTTTTGTGCTTTTCCTTTGTCCTTACTAAGTAATTGCTGTTCCTGCATACTGTCCTTTAATTAAAAAGGATCATGCTTAGTACGTGAAGTAATGTGGTGGTTACTGCACCGTTTTAAAAGTCATCTTTAAAATGACCTCTGTTTGTTTCTCTCTCTTTTTTTTTTTTTTTTGGCAGTCATAGTAACAGAAAAGACAAATATCCTTTTGCGTTATTTACATCAGCAGTGGGACAAAAAGGTATGGTTGTGTTTTCTTAATACTAACGCTTTGTTTTGTTTTGCTGACTTGGGCTAATTGAGCAGAATATTGTTCACAGTCCAGATATCAGAAATGAATTAAAAGAAAGTACGAACTGCACTTCAGCAAAGGGTAGTGTAAGAACAAGTAACTTTTTCTTCCCTTTCAATTTAACATTAACTCAGTGTTTAGTCTAGAATTTGGGAGACTGCAGTTACATTTTCTAGTTACTGCTGTTTTCCTTTGTGACCTTGGCAGATTGGTCACCCTGTGCCTCAGTGTGTGCTGCACAGCTAGGGTAAAGCTGCTCTCTCCTCCTAGGATTTTAGGAGAAGGCAGGCGAGACTGTGCAGAATGTGAATGCCCTGATGAGGCTGTGTAAGTACCTCAGGTGCAGAATCTGAGTTCTCATATGAGGAACACGCAGATTAGCACGCTCTAGCGAGCGTTTGAGACTAGGAAGCGGGGATACCTGGGCTGGGAGTGCTCGGAGCAAGGCGATGCCTTAGGAGTGGAGATGTCGAAGCAGTGAGTGTCATCATGGGAAGAGCAGAGGTTGCTGAAGAACATGGAGAGAGGCAAAATAAGGAACCTTGAAGCTGAAAAGAAAGTATTTGTATGTGACAGAAGGCTTTGGGAGATTTTGATAAGTTCAGGGACTGACTCAGAGCAGTGGGAAAGAGGATCTTACTCACGTTTATGCTGTATTTGGGATCTATAAATAAAAGGTGCTGACATCAACAATTGGTGTTTTAATCCCACCCTCAAATTTGAAGAACAATCTAGAAGTGGCACCTTTCAACTTTGGGCAAAATCCTCTCCAGTGTTTGTTCCGGTGTGTCCTTTAGGTCATCACAGTGCTATATTCCATCCGAAAACTTTTACAAACCAGAAACTGTTCTACCGACTCTTCCTCCCACCAGAACCTAGGGCTTCGGAGAGTTTCACTGTGGCTTTCTCTGTCCCAACAGAACGCAGCAAAGAAGAGAGATCAAGAGCAGGTGGAAATAGAAGGTGAGAATTCGGCACCACCACGGAAAATCGCTCGGACAGACAGCCAGGATATGAACGAGGACACTTAAACTCTTGGCTTTCTCTTCTACTACTTTGCAGGCGCTTCCTGTTTTGTCTCAAAGTGTGTAAATTTTGCCCCTTGCCCCCATCTCTCACCCCTCCACTATGCAGCCCAAACCACTTCTGACTTCATAGGAGCCAATGTATTTATTTTTTTTTTCTTTCCCCCTCTCCATTTTTTATTTATGCCGTAAAACTTACGGAGCAGTGGTGGAACAATTCAGTAAATGATGTAGTATAACCTTAGGTTCCTCCTTTCTAAAAATATACACTGTCACTTTCAAAGGTTTTGTTGAATCTGTTACCTAATCAACCAGCTCTAGCTGTGGGAGCCTGGGTGGGGTACACGGGTTGTTCCAAACCCTTTGGTGGTGCAGGCTTTCTGATTCATGTACCCATTGACATATTACAAGTGGTTAACTCTTCTTTGGATGTGCCCGGCCCAGCCGTAAGTGTGGGGCCTCACTCTTTTTCACAAATATTCTGCAAGTGGCACTGCACTAACAAAATTCTGGGTGTCATTTAGGGTTATGTTGGTCTTAGCAAACGTGTTGTCAACTTGATATCTCAGTTGTATTCTTTTGGTCTGTTCTGTAAGGGCCACGGTCGTTTGGCAGCGTACATTCTCACGCATCAGTGGTCATGGAGAATTCAAGTGAAGGGTGTGTTGCTTTTGTTGCTCTTAAATTCTAACCGTCTCTTGGTCTTGAACGGACTGAAATGTGCAACTTCTCCGTTGGAATAAAAGGATACTCTTACCCTGTTCTGAGTTTTTGATCAACAGTGTATTTAAGCAACAGCTGATGGAACGGAGTTGGGTAGGCACCCTGCAGGCAGCGCGTGGCTGGATGAGCCTGGGAGCACCTTGGCAACAAGATCTACTCTGTCTCAACTGCTGGCTCTGAATAATGGTACGTTGTATTTTCCTGCGATATCGGCATGTCTGGAATGGAGTCCAGGACTTGGAGTTGACCAAAATGTGAGCTTCCATGGTCTCTGATGAAGACCGATCTCTTTGGGACTGTGACAGTTCAGTGCCTGTTGCCTGTAACCCTTCACTGACTCTTCAGAAAGAGCCAAAATGGAGACCTGTACGTCGTCTAGGTGGATTCAGAGGTGCAGAGACTAAAAGGAAATGAGCATCGTCACCTGAAGGGGACAGGAAAGGTGTAGCTTAGTAATGATGTCGTGTCTGCTTTCACGTAAGAAGCTGACTTCACACTGTGTTAGTTCAAATTGTTGCATTTATAGCTGTGTGTTTTCCTTGTTCACAAATCCTAAACACCGATTCAAGAAATCGCACGAACCTTTTTCTAGAGATCCTGGATAAGCCTCGTTCCGAGCGGCTGCCGCGGCCCCGAGCTTTGAGGGTTTCTGCTGTCCCCTTCTCCGCAGCGTCCCTGTCCCACCGGGGATGCCACGCGTTCAGGTTTTGGGGGCGAAGGGAACGCGAAGGGAGATCAACTGTTGCAGACGACTGTATGTTGCAAGGCAGAACCTTAGGAAGAGCAGGGCACAGCTCCCGTTGCGTTTTTAAATGTACGTTAGGCACCGAGTTTCTGATGCAGTGAGTGAATTTAACGCTGAGTAGTTTAGAACTTTGTATCTGCCTCAAAAAACCTTTTTGCCATGGCGGTAACCTCCAAATTACTGGAACGTTGTTGAAAATGCCAACTGTGTTGGTGAAGATAAAATATACTTGGATTTCCGTGTGATTTACTGGCGATTGCAAGAGGACTCCTCCCCGAGTTCTGCTGTCAAAAAGCGCTTGTGTGCACAGTGCAAGGTGTTGACTGAAGACGCCGTTAGCGTTCGGCCTCGCAGGGTTTATCTGGGGCTGAAACTGAAGAATCCTTTGACGAGCTGTGAGATACCAAAAGAGGAAACGAAATGTGCAGCTGGTGGTGAAGTGTGACCAATTTGTGTGTTTAGCAAAGCTTGAGAGCTGCAGCCTTGCGGTGATGTTTGTACAGTGCTTTAAAGTTGTAAAATGCTGTATAATTCCTGAATGATACGGCAAGGTTTGAGCTTTGCTGACTTCTCTGCTAGACAGAGTGATGTACTATTAAAGAGAGTTGGCAGTTCCTTCCTGTTGTAAACCCCCGTCTTTGTTCCCTCCGTGTCTTTTACAAACGATCTTACTGGCGACGGGAGCCTTTGCAATATTTCGGATGGTTTTAGGAGGTTAACGACAGTTGCCTTTTTTTTAAATAGTTCTGAAGTGATGGAGAAACGAAGCTGCGAAGGGATGTGACTGTATGTCTCAAACTGGTGCTGGTTTGGGGTTTTTTTTAATTTTGTGTCGGTGGCTGTGTACAAGCGGTGTGGATTTCTGATGCCCACAGCGAGGCTTTCTGCATCCCATCCGACCCGAAGCGAGAGCTCCCTGCCTCCTTCTGTCCCTCTCCAGCTCCAGAGCGCTGGCCCCGAGCTGTTGGGCTTCGCCCCTGTATTCACGTCTGTTTAATATCTGGTAAGTGTGTCGGGTTTGAGTGTTGCATGGAAGAGCTCACTGGCCCAACTGTGACTTCCTGGTGCCTTAGTCCATTGAAAACACAAAAAAAAAAAATGTTTGAAACCAAAAAAGCCTGGGGTTTTTGCTGACTGCGCTGTGTGTATAATACCTTGCTCCTCTGACTCCCAACTCTTGGTACAAGGTGACTGAGGTTTAGTGACCCTCAGGGGTTTTTTTGTAAACGTCTGCATAGTGGTGTTTTTATCGTTTCTGTTACCGACTTATACTAAAGGTTTGGAGTTTTGTAATGAAAACTTGAGACACTTGTCAGAGAGGAGAATTCTGGGATTTTTTAGTTGAATAGCGTATCTCAAAAGTCGAAGCAGCAGAACTGTGTTTCTTGGTCGTAGGGGATGCTGAGTCCGTCTTGGAGCAGCTCCCAGCAGCCTCTCCTGTTCGCAGGCCTCTGCCCTGTATTAAACGGCGCTGGAGCTCGTGCCCAGTGCAGGCAATTCCATGTCCGCTGGGTAGGTTTAGAACACCAAAAAGCTCGGTGCTGCCTTTTTCTGACATAAAAATACCCTGGTGACTGATGTGCAGGGAAGCGGCAGTTGTGTTTAGGTTAATTCTCAATAGCATGTGATTGCTGCTTTATTTTTTTATTTTTTTAGGGGGGAGGTAGTAGCAAAAAAATACTGGCAGAAGAGTTGGCGATGGGAGAAATGTTGAAGGATAAACTTTGAGGTGTTCTGTCCTCTGCTGTGAATTCGCAGGCCGCTGTGGCTGAGCAGCAAAGTCTGCGTGTGTTTGCGTTGATGCTCGCGGGGGTGGTTCGTTTTGTCAGCGCGTTCAGCCAGGTAGCGCTGGCGTGTTCAGCTTTCAAGGTGTTTCCCACTTCTGTCCTTGGAAGCTTTTCGAGACCCTAATGAACAGTGCCCTGAGCACCCCGCTCCGCGCTGGGTATTGCCCGTGCTTTGAGCCAGCCCTTCCAACCGGCGAACACCGGGACGTGCGAAATGCAGCCGGAGGGTTTGGTTTTGTACGAAGCTGGCAAGCTCGGAGGACTCGGTGAAGCTGATGGAGTTTGCAAGCACGTGCCAAAGGGTTTTTTGACGAGCCCTGAGACCACGCTGTGCCGCAAAGAACGGCGAGCGGCAGGGCGGAGATCCAGACCGGGAGGGGAGGAAGGGAGCTGCTCTGCTCCTCGTCTGCCCGAGGCTGCGACTCGGCCTGGGCCGAGGCTGTTGTGGGTTTAAACTCTTCACCACAGGAGTATTGAAGGTGGGCAGAAGTTTTTAGATGCATTCCACAAAGAAGACGCATTTAGATGTGTTTCACTGTAAGAGGACAGGCTTTCAGAATCGTTTAGATACGTTAGATGTGATTTTTTTTTTTTTTTTTTTAAAAAAAAAAAAAAACAACAAACCAACAAACTTGTTTCCTGAGACACAGAGCACGAGCAGCACACTGCTGTGGATGTCTGGGACGTACGTCCCACTGACGGTTGGGAACCGGTTGCTGAGCTGGGTTGTGATGAATCCAAAAGGCCACGCTTAACCCGAACGCTGTTTTCTGTCCGTGCCAAGCCCTTGGCGAGCTTGGTGCGTGCGCGGTCGTGTGGGGTTGTACCGAGCGCCCCGCGTGGGAAGGCTGCGGAGTGGGACCGGCTGGAAAGGGGGTTTTTTCCCTCCCCAGCGCCTGCCTCGCGTGGCGGGTCGGTTGTTGGTGCTTGGACTGTTCCCTGCAAGGCAAGGTTTGAACGTGCTGGATGTTAATCTCAACATTTTCACTGTATCCTAGGTCTAACATCAAAGCTTTATTTTTTGGCGAGGTCCTCGACGCTGGCCTGAAGGGCAAAGACTAAGCGGGAGTCTCGGATTCTTTCTGACGCTGCAGCTATCGGCTGGGTTACCGCTCACTGTTTCCTGGCTTGTTTGTGTACCACTGGCTTCATTTTAGGTTTTTAAGAATTTTTTTTAAAGACCTGTAGATCTATATTAGGAAAACTGATTTGTTTTCCTGGATTAATGACCCCAGCCTGGCAGCAGAGGAATTGCACGACACACTGACCGTCGCCAGAGGGGTTCTAGCTGCTCGCTCTCCTTGTCAGCTTTTGTCTTAGTTTTTTTTTTTTTTAAAGTGTAAGAGAGAATGGGAAATTCTTTTCTTTGAAGAGAGGGTTGCATTTACCTGGGAGCAGGAGCAGCTAGGGGTGTTCTGGGAGCAGTGCAGAGGACGTGCTGGCCGCCGTGCCCAGAATTGCCCCACGGCTTTGGTGGAGCACGGGCCGACCTTCACGCCGTGCTGACTGCGCTTTCGGGTCCCGCTGCTGCTGCTTCACCATCCCTGTGCCCCTGCAGCCCCGGGGGCTCGGCCAGCGGCTCAGCCGGGGGGTTCGCCCTTAGCAGCCGCCCGAAAAGGCCGACTCAGCAAGGCTGCCCAGGTGGCCTGGCCCTGCCGGCTCATTCACGGCTCCAGCCTAAACTGCGTGGCTCGCTGTCGCAGCCTCCGCTTGCAGAGCTCGTCCTGCTGCGTGCTGGCAGCTGGGGTAGATTTTATATAAAAGCTGTGTGTTGTCTTGAGAGTCGAGTGTCAGGGAGGAGAGAGGGCTTCTAGAACCTCACCTTTTTTTAACTACTGAGGGGAAAAAAACCTCCATCTTCTAGATCTTGAGAAGGCTGAACCTGGCCTGCAGGGAGGAACATCTTTAACTGAAACAAGGGAACGAAAGGCAGCTTTCAAATTGTCTTTAACGCTGAGATTCTGGATTTAAAAGCAAAACTTCCCCCTGAACTAAGGCTCCCTGCATTGTGGGAGGGGTGTTTTTTTTTTTACTTATTTTTTAGAATTGGGTTGTTCTAGGAATTAAGTCTTATTGGCGGTCTTAATGCTTTTGGAGGACTCTGGGTGGCTTTAACCTTTGCGGTAGAGTTCCAAGTTTTGCTGATGTAAACGTGAAAGTATTCGAGATTGAAGGGCAGCGCTGCTAAAACTTGACCCTATTTCAAATCAGGATTTATTTATTATGTATTTTTCTCGTGCGGGGGGCGGTGGCTGGTGAATCAGTTGGGCGGCAGAGGGTGAGGGGGGGCGCCTGGGGACGCTGCGGGGAACGCTGCGCTTGCGGCTGAAGTTTTCCACGGGCCGTCAGCTGCTCTCGTGCCCCTTCCCCAACCAACTCCTCGGCAGCGCTGGGAGGCGAGAATGGGAACAGGGATTGGGAAAGCGGAGCCAAATCACGAGGCCGGTGATTTGTGCTCTTAGTGCCCTAACTCTGCTTTCAATTCCCCCGCCTTTGCGACCGAAGCTTTACGTCGCCGGTGACGGGCAGTAACGTTCCACTTTGCCTCGTTGCCACCAGCTCCATAAACATCCCCGGGACGACTCGTCCCCGTTTGCTCTCCGGTGAATCCCAGCGCTGGGATGTTCCTGTTAAACACAGAGAGTGCTTTTATTTCTTTGGAGGGGCGCGTGATATTGGGCGGTCGAATGGGCGAAAGGCG